TTGAAAAGAATTTTTTGTTGTTGTGTAAGGTTTTTGCCATAGGGTGCATGAGCTCACCAGAGAGACAGACAGACAGACAGACAGAGATAGAGGGAGGGAAAGTGAGAAATCACTCCCTGGGGGGATGGCCACGCTGCGAAGTCCCTTCTCCATTCTCCTCTCAGGGTGTTGGGTACGCATGCCCATGTGCCCAGTGTAATTTTTCAAGATGCTGCATCCAGGCCATGTAGGAGTCCAGAGCTTTAACCACCACTACCTGCTGGCCGGTAAAGAATTTTTATTCACGACTGATACAGAGTCTACTTGAATCCTTCATTGTTTATCCAGAAACAAAGGAAGAAAAATGATGAAATTGCTTGTAAGATAAGTAGCTCTCCTCTGAGGAACACAGAATGGGATACTTTGAAAAACACTGGGCAAATTTCATATGTGATTGACTCTGCCATAGATAATGAAGAACTTTTTAGCCACTCAGGGTATAAATGGCCCTTTGAGCAGGATTCGGTCATGTGCAAACCCTCAACTTGGAACTACCTGTGGTGTTTCTTCTCCCTAAGTGGATTCTTGACTTGTTTTTAAGCTTTTTGGCAGACACGGGTCTCACAGGAAGCACCAACGTGGACCTTCATGTCGACCGTTAATGATGCATTGTTGTTTCATGTCACTCAGTTATTTCCTAGAGAAAACAATGGGAACCAAAGACTGTTCCTGTCTTGGAGGAAAGGCAGCTTCCAACGCTGCCTTATTAATTTAACACATGCAAGTATTTGTCCTTGTTGTTGCCACAGCAACTTGTTTTGTGGGACATATTGCATGCAAAATGAGAAAGGCTGAAAGAGAAAACAAATGTCATGCGCGTACTTAAGTGCACATAAATAGCAACGCACATGAGCGTCTGTCCCGGGGATGAGGGCCGGCGCCTCCTGCCCTCCTCCCAAACGAGGCTGTGCTTGTCGGTTAATTTATGAAACATCCAGCCAATGAAAACAACAAGCTAGACGCTTCCAAAGACTTTCGGAAAAGCTGGAAACACATGAAACTATTCGTAATTAGGGGATCGGTGGATGAAACCAGCTCCCACTGTGGACACACACCACCAGCATGTAAATGAGCCGGAGCTGAAGGAAAGGAAAGGCAGTTTTACCTCGAGGTGAACCTGAACCCAGGCATCTGTAACACTGGCATGGACTGAGGAGCAACGTTCCTGGTTTGGAGGTTTACAAACAGCGAGCGCTGGGACCAGCAGATGGCGTAATGGTTATATAGCTGGATTCCCACATAGTCGACCATGGTTTGAATCCCGGACCTGGTGGGCTGGGCATGTGTGTCCAAGATCTCCAGAGGAGGATGGAGGGGAAGGAACTGCAGTGTGGCCATCCCCTCTCAGGGGTGAGTTCTTGCTATCTGTCTCTCTGTTTCTCTCCACCAAGCACATGCACCCTCTATCAAAAGTCTCTCTAAAAATAATAATAATAATAAAAAATAACAGCGAGCACTGACTCATCTCAGCGGGAGCCTTCTCAGTCTGAGTGGAGCAGGAAAGGGGGTGCTGATGTCTCATCGATTGGCCTGTATTTATGTGAGTGGGCGGGCGTGAGAAGCAAGTACTGGGGGACAGCAGGCGGCATGCTGGTTAAGGTGCTAGACTCCCATGTAGCCAACCACGGTTTCAGTTCCAGACTTGGTGGCTTAAAATTCATACTAGGTGTGTATGCATGTGTATCCGAGACCCCAGGAGGAAAATATAGGAGAAGGGATGGCAGTATGGTCATCCACGTAAGGGGTGATTTCTCACTTTCCCTCTCACTGTGTCTCTTGGTCTCTCTCTGGTGAACACATTGGGACTATAGCAAAAAACAAACAAACAAAAGATTGAAAAAAGAAAGAAAGAAAAAAAAAAGCGAGCACTGGAGCCCCAGAGGCCTGGATTCCAAGCCAGTCACTCATTGTGACCTGGAGCATTTTCTAATTTTTCCTGCTCTCAGTGTCCTTATTTTTTTTATTTTTAGAGAGATTTTTGCTATAAGGTACATGTGCTCGCCAGAGAGACAGAGATAGAAAGCAAGAAATCACCCCCCAGGGGATGAGCACACTGCAATCCCTTCTCCTCCAGTCTCCTCTCAGGATTTTGGGCATACATGCGCAAAATGAGTTTCAAGTCACTGGGTTGGGACTTGAACCACTGTCGACTACGTGGGAGTCCAGTGACTAACCATTACATTGGTCCCTCGGTGTCCTTATTTTTAGAATGAGGATAATCGTATCTCCTTCCCAGTAATGCAGTGAGAATTCCATACAATAGGGGGAATATATATACATATATACATGAAACAAGAAATGGAAAATTATTTCTCGATGATAACATGCATGACTAAGCCACTGTGCAGTGTATTCAGGATGGGAAATCACATTTTGTATGCTGTGATGATGCTCACTGAATGAATGTAAAATAAATTAACTTAAAAAATTAGAACAAAACAAAAGCAAAGGGAATGTTTCTGGTGAAGTTTGTATCTAAAACTAAACTCAGCTAACACTGTATTTTCAAAAGCAGTCTCTTATTAGTTCAGGAAGAAATGATGTGGGAGAGAAAATGCAATTAACATTTTTTTGTTTTATTTTTGATTAAAAAAGTTAAGTCCTTTTTCAAAAAGAGTTTTTAAAAAAAGCAACAATAATAATAATAAATAAAATTAAAGAATTAAAAGAAAACAATATCTATCGAGTACTCGAGACCACACAATACGCACTCCACACACGGTTAAGTATTCTAAGAAGGCACAGTTGTCATTTGGGCTGTGAATCGAGTGTAGCTCGCCTCCCTCCAAGGGGCAGCGAATGGCAGATCCCACTTCCCTCTGCCCCTTCCATGAGCTCTCGCAGGAAGATGCAGATGGAAGTGTGAGTGTGGGCACTTCCAGAGCCAGCTTGATCTGCCATGCCACATGCCACCTTCCCTCAGTCGGCCGTGGTATCAGACAGTGTTTCAGATCATGGCTGCCCTCTCCATCGACACCCTGGTGTGGAGTAGACCCCCAGCCGGACCAGCCATGATGGCTAGCCTGGATGAGAAGGAAACCTCGTGTTGGGGAATTGGACTACCTAGCTCCTCCTGATCATACCTTCTCATCAGCAGAAAGAGTGGACTACGTAAGGTTTTTCTTTGGGGGACCAGCAGATGTTGTATGGTTATGTCACTGGACTCCCACATGGACGACTGTGGTTCAAGTCCCAGACCTTGTGGCTTGAAAATCATGCCTGGCTCATGTGTGTGCATGCCCAAGATTCCAGGAGGAGAATGGAGGAGAAGGGATTGCAACATGGCCATCCCCCCTGGGGAGTGATTTCTCATTTTCAGTCTCACTGTCTTTGTCTCTCTCCTGAGAGTGCACATACCATAAGGCAAAAACTCCTTAAAGCATTTCTTTTTCATTTCTTCTGGAGCAATCTTAAGTCATGCCTGATACCCAAGGATGATATAAATCCTGTCTTTCTGACAAATGCCCTGTGAGGGCCTATGTAGTCTCTGTGTTTCCACTGACTTAAGAGCTGCCTTGCATGGAAGGATTGCTGCAGTTGCTATTTCAGAACTCCTGCAAGACCACCATCCTCCAGTATAGAGTGCTCTCTGCACAACCAAGAATAAGACTACATTACCATGCAAACATGCTTAGCACTGCAAAATTTAAGTCTTCCTCGTGGGGCACGTCTGTCAATCATGCCGATCCACTTGAGGGTGTGGGGATGTGGAAAAACAAGTTACCGAGAGCTGTTCTGACATCGGCAAATTTATTTCATTTCTGACTTAATCTAGAGTGGGATTGAGCAGTCCCAAGGTAGAAGTCTCATCTTTTCTCACCCTCTACACATTGCTCAGTGTTGTCATTTGGAGGTTAGCACGAGTTCAGTCTCCTGTAATAGGCCGTTTCACTTTAAGTGTATGTTAAACTAATATTGACCTTCCCAAAGTAAAACAAAACCTGGTATTTGTGCTCAAAAGACTGAAACAGCAATAGATGTGGAAAGTAGAGGATTAATCATCTTGGGGTTTTTCTTGCTTAGACACCCTCTCTGGGAATTCGTCATTTTTATGTATTTAGCCATGAATATAAGACAGGCTGTACCTACTCTCGGGAAAAGGAAGCCTGGATCCTTCAGCAAATAACCTTCTGTATAGCGTGCCCAGTTTAACCCACAGACCCAGATTTGGATGTTTCTTTTGACAACGTGTGAAAAGCCCATGAACATGTGTTGGCCATGGAGGGAAGAGCCCGATGTCTAGGGAAGAGCAGGCACTGAGAGTGGTGAGGGGTGAGGAGGGGTGGATGAAACTGTGGGGTCGGGGAATGAGGAGGGATGTTGGGGTCTGCAAGTTAGAGAAGGGAAGGGTGTGTCGGAGCAAAGAAAGCGGAAGCAACATCGCTGCTGAGGACACACATACGTACATTGTATACCCCGCCTGCAGATGCAGTGCCCTCCATTCAGCCCCCTCTTGGGTGTGTGCTGCTTAAACCTATGTAGACCAGACCAGCCCAAACCCTCCCTTCTGTTCCTCAGCCCGAAACAAACAGAAAACTCTGTACTTGGAAACAATTCGTTCATGCCTGTCTACAGAACGAATTTATCCATTTCATCAAAGAAATGAAAATATGTCAAAGTAGGAAGCATATCCACAGAAAACACGTAGTCGGGGAAAATGAGGTCTTTTCGTTTATCGCAGTGAGACCGCTGTACTTAAGGCCTGTGGCTATAGGACTTGAGGATCTGAGAAACTGAGTGGTTTTCCAGGGATGTCACGTGGGGCTGCTTTTCTCTGATCACACAGAGATGGCACCACTCTGCCAGGATTGCTGACCCTTGGATCTACTACCCTTCTCTTCTCATTTGAGGGCATTTGGTATGACACTGTTTCTTTCTTTCTATTTTTTTTTTCTCCAATAACCTTTCCAGATGACCAAAAGGCTCTCCTCACCAGACAGGCCCGGCCTCGGGCTGCATACCTGTATCCACTCTTTGTAGGAGTCCTCCCCGGGAGTCCACCCATTCTCAGGGTAGTTCAGGCGGGAGCGCTCTGCAGACCAGTTGGTGCTGTACTGGGAAGAAGCTGTGATCTGGTCAGAATGAATCTCTCCTGACTCCATGCCCAGAGCTTCCATACATTTGAAATCTGAAGAGAAAAATACAGCCCAAAGTCACTGAAACATAAGAGACCTAAGATCTAGCTTTATTTTTAATCTGGCAAACTCAAGAGTTCATTCGCTCCAAGCCTTACAAAGATGGCGGCAAGGGTCCTACTGGGTCATAGCACTGATGCTTGTGTTCTCATGGCAATATTTAAAAGTCAGGCTATAAAAGCCATCATCGTGACTAATCATCTCCCCAAGTGGACCTAGGTTGACTTTAGACTAAGATATATTATGAAATGATGGAATTCTGATTGATTTTCAAAGTTGAGTATGTGTGTGTACTTATGTGTGTAGGTCTCTATCAGTCATGTGAGTACGTGCTAAATGTTGTATTTAAATACAATTTCAGTATGAAATGATTTCCTCTAGCAGCTAAAAAGACTGAAAGGCACTCGTGTCTATTTATAATTTACGTTTAGTGGAGAGCAGATTTTTGACTCTGTCTTGTAAGCTCCTAGCGATGGCCACCCAGGCCAGCCCCCCTTGTGCCCTTTGTTCTCATGCCCATTGCTCCTGGCCTGGGTATGGTTATTCACATAATTACTTTGTTTTATTAAAACACAGAAGTATATATCAGGGGTCAACTGCAATATCATATGGCCCCAAGAGCACCACAGTTTCATAGCGTAACATAATAATGTTGACGCTGAACATGGGCTCTTAAAACTTGACGTCCATTACACCTGGTATGCTAGGGTTGGTGATAATGGGGAGTCCATAATCAACTTTAGGAAAACGTTTTTACAAAGTACAAAAGTAAAACAAAGCTTTAGCAACTTAATGAAAAGCTCTTAACTACCCAGAAAAATCTCCACAAATCAAAATTTTACATTTTCTCAATTCAGGGGATGGTTTTATGGCACAAAATCTTTTTTCCCCCATTGATTTCTTAGTTTAAAGCTTTTTTTTTTTTTTTTTTGAG